TTGCCCTATAAGGTGAAAATTCTCTGCAGGACCGCCAATAGGCGGGCCAAGAAATTTTCCCTGTGGAAACGCCTATTTTGCCAGTTTTTGCCACTTAGTTGCCACTTCGCCATTTCCTTGCTCATTTTTTCCTTTGTCGGAGCACCCTGACCCCAAGGCGCCACAGAGATTAGGAAACGGAGAACATCTCTTACTCTTGGTCCCGGTTTCAAATCCTTCTCACTTGATTTCGACCCTAGCCTGATATCTTCGGCCAGGACGGATTATCTCCTGGCCAGGCTCTTGGAGTTCGGAACTATACCCCTGAGAGGGGTTAAGGCATTCCTCTCTAACTGGGCTTCGGCTATGGTATCCAATGACGCGGGGGTTGAAGGCAGCGGGACTGCCGCTGCGGGAGTCCAACGGCTGCTCAGGCACCCTTGGACTTCGCGAGGGCGATGCATGGTGCTTCACGCAGGTCTGGTACATGGGATGCCCATTCGGCCTCTGCTTTGGTTAGCGAGTGCTCTCGCGGTCATATCTGCTAAGAGGAAGTGCCGGTTGGTGCGTAGCATCGAGCTGGGCAACGATTGTGACTACTTCGACGCCCTATTCGAAGCCCTCATTGCTGACACTGCTATGGAGGGCACAGGCTCGGCCACAAATCGTTCATCTTCCATCGAAGAGGCAGTAAGTCCCACTGGCGATGGAGGACGAATGGCGGATCGTGTTGATCATATGTGCGAGTGAATTCACGTACCGGCGACCGTCAACAGCAACTCGTTCGATTACTCCTTTATGCTGCATCATGACGCCAGTCACTGGCGGCCAGTGGCGCCGCGCTGCACATGACGGGATTCTAGATCATCGTATTCCATCTCTAGATTTGGAGTACTACTCAGGTGAGACGAAAGGTGCTCCCAGAGCATCGATGGAGCATCAAGGAGAGAGTCGTGGACCTCTCTCGATGAGCAGACCTGGAGATCTTTGGTGATTTGCTGAACCTAAGGCTGACGCCACATCGAGCAGAAAGCTTGAGGGCCTCAGAAAAGTGTGCTACTCGGAGTTCGGATTACTCACACTTCAATGAGAATCTCCGAGAAGAAATGTCCCTAGAGTCTTGGGACTTGTAAATTCCGTCTTGGGCCAAGACGGAATTTACAAGTCCGAGTGTCGCTCCGAGTACTCGGACTCGGCACTCGGAGTGTAGGAGCATTTCAATGCACGGAAATTTCTCGAGCCCGGGTACTTCCCGGGGGGAAGTCTACTCTTCCGACTCCTCGGACTCGGAGAGGTGAACACTTTAATTGGCTCCAGAAGTCTCCTGGCAGAAGACATACGCGAGTATCAAATCAAATCAAACCGACTCGGTGACTGAGACACTGCTTGCGTTAATAACATCGTGGCACTCGTCTCGTCTCTCCGCTACTCTCACCATGCAGGGGAACGGTCCAACCATATGGTTGCTCAACACTCAACACAAATGTTCGCGCGCGTTTGAGTCTGAGGCAAGATCTCAAACATCGTCATAGTATGGCGGTCCTACAGCCCCTACTTGGTTTACAGCCTGCCGGATAGTACGCGACCGTTATGATATGATGAATTGTCATCGATACTATCGATGTCTATCGATTCGATAGACATCGTTGTTCAAGTCGACTCCTATTTGCAGATTTGCTTCAAATTGACTTCAAGTTGAACACAACAGCGTAATCGCGTTTCGAAAGAAGCATTGTTCTACAATGTAGAGCAATGTAGAATCTACATCATCTAGACTACATATAATAGGCAGCATACTTGTCTCCGAACCGACCTCAGAATCATTTTGTTGGACATACTACTTGACTCAAATGAGTTCACCACCGAGTGCGGTGCTCATGCGTGAAGTTAATGTCCTCGAACGAGCACTCTCAAGAAATGGCTCAATGTTCTGTGAGGCGCAGACGGCATCAACCAGGCGTGTTTCGCGCCGGTAGGACGCCTTCATGATGCGGAGACACCAAATACTGGATCAAGGATAGGAGAGCTACCACACCCGCACGGGAGGACGGTGAGGTGGCCGCTCTCGAACGAACAGGGTCAAGACAGCAGAAATGAAGCACTCATCGTGTAAAGTGCAAAAATAGGTTACATCATATCTCACTCAAGCCGATTTCTAATCAACAAGCACAATCCACGTCGGTCGGGACTAGACCAAGTAGACCGGATCCACATTTCCCAGTGTCCCAGTTACAGCGGAATCCACCAGTAAATGCGAAGCCGATGCATT